ACAAGAAGAGGCGCCATGAAATCTGGGGAGATATCATGGTCCCAACCATGATATGCACCCCCCCTAATCATCACCCCCCTCTTGGCCGCCCCCGGTCCTCGTCGATCCGCTTTTTTGTTTCTCCGGGGACTACAGTCGGGCCGCTGAAAGAAGGAACGCTAAATAAGAAACGAAGCCCCTTCTTGGCCCTGTAAGCGCCTCCGTGCCCAAGAAGGGCAAGAGGAACAGCACTGGAGGAGCATGAGGAACATCGAGCCCCTTCCGAACCCAAATCGTTCCTTATCTCAGCGTCTTGTAGTCATCACCCCCCTCTTGGCCGCCCCCGACCCTTGTGGTCGGGAACCCCCTGTAAACCACGACCGGCATCGGCGTCGACTAGCCCGCGACCTCTCGGCCACGGTCAGCGTTTATGCCTCCCTCGAGAAGGAGAGGCCGGCTCCCCCGTGGCCAGAGGAGGCATAAGAAAACAAAACAGCAAAAAGAAAAAAAACAAACAACAACAAAAAAAAAACAACAACAACAAAAAAAAAAAAACGGCGCGAGCGCAGCTTGTCTCGGAAGCCCCCCCGGCTTCCTCTCGGAGGGCCGTGCGCCCGGCCGAGGTCAGGACCGCCCGACGCCCCGACCGCGGCAGGACCGGGGCTGCCGACCGGGAGCCAAGCCAGGGAGAGAGGGCGGGGGTGGAGGGCCAGGACGCGGCGAGAGGGCAGCAAGGGGATCGAGGACCTCCTCGAGGAGCAGACGAACGCATGAGCATGGGCTTTCGGAGGTCCACTGCGGCGCCGCCGCCGGCGCGCCGCGCGCGCCAGGGAAGGGGACCCAGCGCCGATCCACGAAACCCGCGTGGACCTCCGAAAGCGTACGCTTACGCATCCGCCTGCTCTCCCCGACGAGGTCCTCGGTCGCCTTCTTGCCATCTTGCCGCGCTCGGGCCCTCCGCCCCCGCTCCCGCTCCCTCTCTCTCGACGGGCTCCTGGGCACTGACCCCGGTCCCGCTGCGGTCGGGGCGTCGGGCGAAGCTGCACTGGCCAGGCGCGCGGACCTCCGCGAAGGCCGCGCGGACCTCCGTGCCGTTTTCGGGGCTGCTCTTCTGAAGGGGCCCCGGGACACACAGATGCATAGACAATAATGACAGGACTCCCCAGATCTTCCCATCTGCTCTGCGTGTTTTTGTCTTCCCCTCCACTCCCCATATTCCCCCATATTTCTGGGGAAGGCGACGATGAGTTGTGTCTGCGTGCTTCTCTCCCTCCTGACATTGGCCAGGCGCGCGGACCTCCGCGAAGGCCGCGCGGCCCCTCCGAGAAAGCACGCTCCTGCCCTTTTTTCTTGGGGGGGGGCTGCTCCTCGAGGCTCCCACGACGGCGCGGCGCGGAGCGCGCGCCGCCGCCGCCAGGGCGGCGGGGTCGGAGACGGGGGGGGGCACCGAGCGCCGTTGCCGAAGACGCGCTCCTCGGCCGGCGAGGCGCGCGCGCGCGCCCCACGCGCACGCACAAACACGCACAGACGAACACGCACACAGGCGCGCGCGCGCGCGGAGAGGAGCCCCCGGGCGAGGTCGGCGGGCGGGGGGTGCCAGCGGCGAGCGGCGGGAGTCGAAGGCGCACGCACGCACGCACGCACGCACAGACGAACACGCACGCGCGCGCGCGCGGAGAGGAGCCCCCGGGCGAGGTCGGCGGGTGGGGGCGCCAGCGGCGAGCGGCGGGAGTCGAAGGCGCCACGACGGAGGAGGCCAGCCACGGCCGTGCGGGTGGGTGGTGAAAAACGAGGAGGCGCTGCAATGCCAAACTGCAGCGGCCCAAAAAAAACAAGGAACATAAGCTCGACGCGGGTACTTCGAAGCGCGGGCAACAATTTGGTGTTAATTGAACGTAGGTTGAAGCGACAGCAGTCTGGTGCAAATCTGTGATACTGAATCATCAGAGCGATGTTAGACAGTGAAGGCAAAAACGTGTAAAGCTGTCAGACCAGCCGATGGGTAGGGTAGCGCTGAAAAAAATTAAGGCCCGGCGAAGCTGATATACACACGCACACACAAGCGCATTTGTTGGCGGTCGCGGCCTCGCGCGCAGCGACGATGCGGAGAAAGTCGAGCGAGCGGCCAGAGGACGCCTTCACCATATCTGGATCGTGCGGTGCACGACGCCTTTTTGCGTCGCCTCGCAGTGTGCACTGGTGATGATGATTGTTTATGTTGCGGCCCCTGGGGGGACTCGCCTGCCTCCTTGGGGGACAGCTTCGTGCAGTGCAGAGAACAGGACGCCGACAGAGTACCAGGCGCGCAGAAGCGGTGGAGGGCACCGACGCTGCTGGAGGCCGCAGCCGAGTGGCGGCAGGCAGGCGGAATTCGGAGGCAGTGCCAGCGCGCAACCAGAGCGTCAGAGGCGCGCGTGATACACACATACACACACAAACACATACTCGCGGGCATTGTCGTCACGACCTCGTCGTCGCTCGCCTCGTCCTCCTCCTCCTCCTCCTCCTCCTCCTCCTCCTCCTCCTCCTCCTCACATCATCATCATCATCATCATCATCATCATCATCATCATCATCATCATCCCTCAAATCATCATCATCATCATCATCATCATCATCATCATCATCATCATCATCATCATCATCATCATCATCATCATCATCATCATCATCATCATCATCATCATCATCATCATCATCATCGCCGTCATTAACATCAGCAGCATCACCTTAAACACCATCAGCATCAGCATCATCATCACCACCATCATCATCGTCATCGCAATCATGAATACTATCAGTATCGCCGCCATCACAATCATCATCATCATCATCTTTTTCATCTTCATCTTCATCTTCATCTTCATCAGCAGCATCGCCATCATCATCATCATCATCATCATCATCAGCATCATCATCCTAGTCCTCATCCTCATCAAAATATCACCATCAGCATCAACAACATGATTATCATAGTCATCATCATCATCACTATCAGCAGCATCAGCATCATCATCATTATCATCCTCATCACCATTACCACCACCACATCATCCTCATCATCCTTCTCCTCTTCATCCTCAGCTTCACCATCATCTGCATCATCAACATCATCCTCATAGCAATCCTCATCATCATCATCATCATCATCATCATCACTATCAGCAGCATCAGCATATCAGCATAATCATCCTCATCACCAGCACCACCACCACATCATCCTCAGTATCCTTCTCCTCCTCTTCCTCCTCCTCCTCACCATCATCATCGTCACCATCATCATCATCGTCATTATCCTCTCATCATCACCAGGCCCTGCGCGCAGCGACAGGGCGTAGAATGTCGAAAAGGAGCAACCGCGCGAGCATGCGACAAAGCCCGAATAGCACACACCCACACACACACACATACACACATTCGCAGCCCTGGTCGACACGACGTCGTCCTCGCTCGCCTGTTTCTCCTCCGCCTATTCTTCTTCGTCTTCATTATCAACACCAGCATCACCCCCGCCTCATCATCAGCATCATCATCACCATCACCATCATCATCACCATCATCGTCATCATCATCACCATCGTCACCAGCATCGCCATCATCATCAGCATCGTTATCATCATCATCATCATCATCATCATCATCATCATCATCATCAACATCATCCACATCATCATCAACATCTCCAAAATCGTCATAATCGTAGCATCAGCATCCTCTCACCATCAGCATCATCATCCTCCTCGTCATCATCCCGTTCAGCATCATTATCAGCATCATCAGCATCATCAGCATCATCAGCACCATCAGCATCAGCATCAGCATCAGCATCATCAGCACCATCATCATCATCATCATCGCCATCATCGTTATTATCATGGTCGTCGTCACTGTCATCGTCACTGTCATCATCGCTTTCATCGTCAACATAAACATCATGGATAGCATCATCACATCGATCATCGACATCATCGTCAGCATCATCATCATCATCATCATCATCATCATCATCATCAGCCCCACCACTAGCATCATCATCATCGTCACCACCACCACCACCACCACCATCATCATCATCATCATCATCATCATCGGCGTCATCATCGTCATCGTCATCAGAATCAGCATCAGAATCAGAACCAGCATCATCATCAGCATCATCATCATCAGCATCATCATCAGCATCATCATCGTCAGCATCATCATCATCATCATCATCATCATCACCATCATCACCATCCTCCCCCTTCTCAGCCTCCTCCTCCTCCCTCCTCCCTCCTCGTCCCTCCTCCTCCTCCTCCTCATTATCATCATCACCATCACCACCAGCACCGTCCTGTTCCTTCTCCATGTCATCCGTCCTCCTCCATCCCTCCTCCTAGATCCGCCACCGTGCCCGGAAGCACGAGATGGAGCGTCCCCAGTCCTCCCATCGAGTCCTCCGTACTCCGTAATGGAACACTCCCCAGGGGGCCCACAGCCACGAGCACCGGGCGCCACCGGGCGATCCTGGAGCTGGTCGCGTGCCGCCGCATGGCTCTTCTTGAAGCACAAGGGCTCCGAGACAAGACAAGAAGGACCACAGAGGCTGCCAAGATGGTCCAAGAGGGCCCCGAGATGGCTCAAGGGCTCGCCGAGACGCCCAACATGGCCTCAAGACGACCCGAGAGGCCCCCAAGACCCAACAAAAAGCTGTGAAATTTCCCCGAGGGAAATCAACGTTCGCCCCATAGAACCGACGGTGGTGTGGCTCAGTTTCACCGTGGTTCACATAAGTGTAGTGCTACAAAGGTTGACGCGGCGGGCGTTGAAGATAACTGAGAGTGGTACCTGCGCAAAGGTAACAGTGCTGTCGATCTCTCGGCGAAACTGGCTGCTTCTCTGCATCCTGAGCCGTCCACCGAGGAAGCAGAGAAGCTGGACCAAGCATTGACTGTCTCTCGCGCCGTCGGCATGTTAGCTGCCAAGCTTCTTCCGAGTTGGTCGTGCCTGGATATGACCACCAATGTTCAGAGGGTGCCTGTCCCAGTGCCACCAGTGCCAGCCAGGGAACTCAATCCGCATCTCTGGTCATGGACGGGTCGCGGTTGGCAATGCTCTCTTCCTCCTCCTCCTCCTCCTCCTCCTCCTCCTCCTCCTCCTCATCATCATCATCATCATCATCATCATCATTCTTTCATCCTTACACAATTGTGCATGCTCGTGGAGTCGGACCACCACCTATCATCATCATCAGTCATCATCATCATCAATTCTTATCATCATCATCCTCATCCTCATCCTCATCCTCATCCTCATCCTCATCCTCATCCTCATCCTCATCCTCATCCTCCTCCTCCTCCTACTCGTCCTCCTCCTCGTCCTCCTCCTCCTTCTCCTTCTCCTCCTCCTCCCCGTCCTCCTGCTTCTCTTCCTCCTCCCTCTAGGCAGAGCGCCCCTACTCCCCCCCGCGGTATTCGGGAAGCTGTGCCTCCAGCTCACGCGCTTCGCGCTCCTTGCCGCCTCAGGGTCCGTGGGCGTGACACTCTCATGTCATGCCACTGCGTGGCGGCGGAATCCCTGGAATCCCTCCTCGCGCTCCTCCCTCGCCCTCCTCCCTCCCTCGCGCTCCTCCACCCCCCCTCGACGAGCGGGAGCCGTCTCCTCGCGCTCCTCCCTCGGGCCCCGCGGGCTCTGCGGCGGCGCCCCGCCGCCCGGGCTCGCCGCCGCGGGTGTCCGCCTCCGGGCAGAATCCGGCGGTGGGGGGGGCGGGTAGGGGGGGGGGGCTCATCCTCTCCTCCTCCTCCTCCCTCCTCCCTCCTCCTCCCTCCCTCCCTCCTTCCCTCCCTCCCTCCCTCCTCCCTCCCTCCCTCCCTCCTCCTCCTCCTCCTCCTCCATCCTCCTTCCTCCTCCTCCTCGCAGCAGCCGCAGCAGCATTCACTCATCATCATCAATCATCATCATCATCATACCTCATCTTCATCATCTCATCCTCATCATATCATCTCATCATCATCATCTCATCATCATCCCCACATTCATCATCATCATCTTCTTCATCTATAATATATCATCATCTCATCTGCATCATCATCATCATCGTCGACTCATATTCATCATATCACATATCATTCTGCATCGCTTTCTGCTATCATCGATCATATCACAGTCATCATCCTCTTCATCATCAGATCATCATCTTTTCACCAACTTCACCACCACGACCACTTATCATCATCAGCATCATCATCATCCTGATCCTCCTCCTCCTCCTCCTCCTCCCCCTCCCGCCCCTCCTCCCCCTCCTCCCCTCCTCCATTCCTTTTCCTCCTCCTCCTCCCCCTCCTCCATTCCTTTTCCTTATAAATAATGGCTCCCTGTCGCACTGAGGCTAGTTTTCAGTGCGGTCCGGGCGTTTCGCCTGAGACTCCCTCCCCATTTATGAACCTGAAGCTTCAAAAGTGGCAACAGCTTCACAGATGGAGGCGGGTCGTTTTCGAAATGTGGCTCTCGCCTTAGCGCCGCGCACTTTCATTTAAAAACGATGGAGGCATTTCACGGATTGAAGGCGACCCGTTTTCAAAATGTGGCTCTCTCCTTAGCGCCGCGCACATTCGTTTCTACAATTTGCAAGAGCTTTACGGATTGAGGGGAACCCGTTTTCAAAATGTGGCTCTCGCCGTAGCGCCGCGCACATTCGTTTGAATGATTTGCAAGGGTTTCACGGATTGAAGGCGGATCCTTTTCAAAATGTGGCTCCCGCCTTAGCGCCGCGCACATTCGCCAATAAAATGTGCAAGAGTTTGACGGATTCCCCTGATCAAAGTAGCAGGCATGGTGTTTGGAAGAATTCCGGATTATGCGGGTGTAACCGCTAAGTTCAATCGCGGTGTTGAAGTCCCAAGAATGCCGTTCTGACTCGATTCAGGATCATCGTCAAAGTGCGCCAGTTAGTTTGATCCGTGGCGTTGGAATTCCGAGAGCAATGTTCTGGCATGCTTCAGGTCTTCAAACGGTTGTCTTCCAACGAGGCAGTTCCCTCAATGGAAATGAACCGTTGTAGGGGCCTATGAAGAGGGAGCTTGGAGGAAGGGTTGATTCCAACATCGTTGATGACTCTTGGGTTTACATTGGTCCTCCTCCTCCTCACCCTCCTCCTCCTCCTCCTCCTCCTCCTCCTCCTCCTCCTTCTCATCCTCAGCATCATCATCATCATCACCATCATCATTATCATCATCATCACCATCATCATCATCATCATCATCATCATCATCATCATCGTCATATCATCAGCATCATCATCGTCATCGTCATCGTCGTCGTCGTTATCATGACCACTGTGTGTGGGAACTTCACGCTGTCCAGAGCAAAAGCATCGGAACCCAAGAAGCTCAGGGCACCCTGGAGGCAAGCAGGGTGTTTCTTGGCATGGGTCTCCACTGTACACACTTACTGAACAACTCGGAGTCCACAGCGTCGGGCTCCTGGTATTGCAACCTCCACTGCACACTGCATCATCCGACGCCACCTGGCCTTGGGCTCGATGCTGGGCCTCAAGCACAGTGTCTACCCCTGCCCACCCACATCAAGGGACAGTCGCGCCCAGGTCCTCGCCGAATCGGCAGCGCGGTGTTGTTATACCCTGTCCTCCAGGTAGTCCAAATGGGGCTGTAGATGGGATCGGAGGATCGCGCCGCATCGCCGATGCATCGGCGATGCAGCGGTGACATCAGGATGGGTAAAATCTGGCTCCGAATCGCGCCGCATCACCGATGCATCGGAAGTGCCTGAAAAAAATATCGTTTGCATCTGTAGCGATCCGACCGATGAAATCGTTGAACATCCAAAACACCCATGAGTCTCTAAATAGTTCGTGTGGCAGCAAATCAACCGCGCATCTAATCTAAACACCGTCAGTGCTTGCAACCATCACTCCATGGACTAAGCGCGGTGCAACTTCGAAATGTGTCGAGTCGGAGGTACCCATCCACAGAAGCATCTGACTTGCGAGATGCGGCAGATGACGGACGCGGTGTTGCACGAGGACTCTCGAGCTTGCAGAAGCAATGACTGGCAGGTCGACATCATCTGCATCATCGCCCCTGCACCATTATCCGTGCATCACAATGGAGGCCATTCCACAAGAAACCTTCCACAAGAAATCCAACCCTGAGACCCCAGGACGTCCATCGCTGTTTGGTGGGAACGTCACCAGTTCCATAGCAAAACCATCGAAACTCAGGGCACCCTGGAGGCAAGCAGGGTGTTTCTTGGTATGGGTCTCCACTGTAAGGCTAAGGACCAAAACGCGATACACGCGAACCATCAACGCAGGTTGATGAAACCCGTGCACACGATCCATCGCGAGCGCAAGTAAGAGAAAGGGAAGAAGACGGAGGAGGAGGAGGACTCCAGGCCATACAGCTCTGTAAGACAACACTGCCGTTCTGACGCGCGCCCGGCTGCATCTCTTGTTTTCCTGCTCATCTGCGCATGTTCGCCACACAGGTCAGAAGCGCAACAGGCTGCTCGGAAGGAGAACGGTCTAAAGGCCTGTCGGCGCGGCAGCGTCGCACTACATCGGCACCTGGTTACGGAAAGAGCGAGGTACGAGTGATGACGTTGAGTTCGGGCGAAGCCGTCTAGGGATGGGCCCAGGGGAGGGGCGAGGCCCAGGCACAATGGTCTAACGGCCAGTTTCCCTCAGATGTTTTCGAGTGCAGCAGCTCCCGGGCGGCTCCCATGGCCAGTTTCTTCATATCGCTTCTGGTGAAGCGGCCCAAGGGCCCCAAGACGGCCCAAGAAGGCCCCAAGACGGCCCTAAGAGAGCTCCAGATGGTCGCTAGACGGTCCAAGAGAGTCTCGAGACGGCCCCAGAGGCCCTCACAAGAGGGCCCCCGAGAGGGCCTCAGGAAGCCAAAAACATTGATTTCCCGTAGTTGTTGTCGGTTGTTCGGGTTCTCCCCTTTTCCGTCCCAGAAGGGCCCCAGACGGCCCAAGAGGTCCCAAAGATCGTCCCAAGACAGCCCCAGAGGTGCCCCAAAGGGGCACAAAACGGTCCAAGAGGGCCCAGACAGGCCCAAGACGGTCCAAGAGGCCCCAAAGATCGTCCCGAGACTGCCCCAGAGGCGCCCCAAACGGACCCAAAACGGTCCTAGAGGGCCCCCAGACGGGCCCAAGACGGCCCAAGAGGCCCCAAAGATCGTCCCAAGACGGCCCCAGAGGCGCCCCAAAGGGGCCCAAAACGGCCCGAGCTGGTCCCCAGACGGCCAAAGAGGGCCCCAATACGGCCAAGAGGGCCCCCAAGACCCTAAGAGAGCCCAAGAGGGCCCTAATAGGCTCCCAAGCGGGCCCGAAGAGGAAAAGGGGAAAGAGGAGGAGGAAGAGGAGGAGGAGGAGGAGGAGGAGGAGATGGGGAGGTGGAGGAGGAGGAGGGTGGCTGGGGGGGGACGTGAGGACGTAGGAACGAGGAGAGGCCATAGGCGAGGGGAGGGAGAAGAAGGAGGAAGAGAGGAAGGGAGGAAGAGCAGGAGGAGGAGGAGGAGGCAGGAAGAGGTGGAGGAGGAGGAGGAGAAGGAGGACGGAAAGAAGGAGGGGGAGAAGGAGGATGAGGAGGGAAGAGGAGGAGGAGAAAGTGACGAAGAGGAGGAGGAGGATGGGTGAGAGGGAGGAGGAAGGAGGAGGAGGAGTAGGAGGAGGAGAAGAGGAGGAGGAGGAGGAGGAGGCGATGAAGAGGAGGAGGAGGAGGAGGAGGAGGAGAAACGACGAGACGAGGCCAAGGGAGGAGTGAAGGAGGAGGAGGAGGAGGGAGGAGGAGGAGAGGGGAGGAGGAGGAGGAGGCGGTGGAGGAGGAGGAGGAGGAGGAGGAGTAGGAGAGGAGAGGGAGGAGGAGGGAGGACGAGGTAGAGGAGGAAGGAGGAGGTGGCGGAAGCGAGGTAGAGGAGGAGGCGGGAGAGGAAGAGGAGGAGAAGTTGGAGGAGGAGGAGGAGAGGAGGGGAGAGGAGGGGAGGAGGGGTGGGAGGGAGGGGGGGGGAAGGGGGGGGTGGAGGGGGGGGGAGGAAGGAGGAGGAGGAGGGCGGAGGGAAGGAGGCAGAGGAGGCAAGGGAGGAGGAAGAGAAAAGAGGAGGAGGAGTAAAAGAGGAGGAGGAAAAAGGAGGCGGAGGACAAGGACGAGGACGAGGGAGGAGGAGGAGGAGGAGGAGGAGGAGGAGGAGGAGGAGACGGAGGAGGAGCAAGAGGAGAAGGAGGAGGAGGAGGAGGAGGAGGAAGAGGAGGAGGAGGAGGAGGAGGAAGAGGAGGAGGAGGAGGAGGAAGAGGAGTCACGAGGAGGAGGAGGTGGAGGAGGAGGCGTAAGAAGCTGTTCACACTCAGGCTCCCAAGCGCGAAGGTGACGTAAAAAGCTCGTCACACCAAGGCTCCCAAGAGCGAGCGTTAACGTAAACATCTCTGAACACCAGGGCTCCCAACAGAGAGTGGTGACGTAACAAGCTCTTCCCACCAAGGCTTCCAAGAGCGAACGGAGTTGTTCCTTAAACACTAGCGTGTCGCTCGAGACATCCTCGAACAACTGGGATCTTGTAATCACTGGCTTCGTCTTGGGATCGCCATAAAAAAAAGCCAAATCGCTAGGGTAGTCCCCCTAAAAGTCGCACGCTACAAAAGAGCGGATGGACTCTCAAGTCGAAGCGCTTTCGGAGAATCTCCCAGATATCCCAAGATGCGAAAATCGTCAACGTAAAA